GATGATGAACAAGACTATCAATTATAGTATGATCCATTTTACATCCAGCATTTCTCACTCTGCTCAAAAAAATAAGGGTAAGAGGCTTAACATGGTGAGCTCTGGTGTTACTTGTATTATAGGTTTTTGCTATTCAGACATGAAGGGGGAACCTTGCTATTTTCCCTAATTTAAAATACCAATATTTTATATTTTTTTATATTTCCCTAATTTAAAATACCAAAAATAACTTTCTTACACTGGCCTGTAAATGGTAAATCAAAGTGGGTCACAGCCAGCAGAGGACTGGAACTATCTAGTTGTGCAAGCTTTCCATCTCCTTTCTTTTGTGAGGCTAGATCAGATATGCAGTGAGTTTGGCTGCCATAACTACAAGCTGGACATGTAGCAAACTGTTTAGAAAATAAACATTATTCAAACAATTTGAAAAACAACTAATTGCTTAATGCACAGCAAGCTGCAATTGCTTTTATCATGTATACATAGTTACTAAATTCATTGAATGTATTTGAAGGCAATTCGAAGCAAACCTTTCTCACTGCACTTTATTGTTAGATTACCACATGCCACTCCATAAGCTTTCTACCATCCTAGAACCACTACAAAAGAGACCACAGCTCCTTGGAGCACACTCATTTAGGGGCCTTCCTGAGAGAAGCCTTAGTGACACCTTGAGATCCCCTCCATATTTTCTGTGAGAGAAGGTGGCAGAGCCGCAAGAGCCACCACTGCTATCTAGGAATCTTGTTTGCAGGTATGCAGTTAGGAATGTGGTTGCCCCAAAAAGATATATTCTGTCCAAAACTCCCATGAGAGACCAACGCACTGAAAGCTGCTCAGGAATACAACGACTACATTATAGCTGCCCTTGTTTGGAATACTTTGGTAAAATCTGCAGATGTGACTGGTACCGACATGCAGTGCATCACCCTCATCTGAGCAGCCTACTCTGTTGAATATGAAACACTGCTTGGCAACATCAGTCTCCCCTGATAATATTTCTGAATGAAAGTGACCACAGGGCATATTATTACATTATTTGAGAGGCTTTGGTGTTGTGCTTTGGTCATTTTGCTCTATCTCCACTTATTAAACAGAATGGTCCCTGAAGTTTGGTGTTCAGCGAGAGGAAGGAAAAGCATAATACAAGCTTACATTTGCAAATTCTACCTGCACTGAGACAGTAGGCTGAAGTAATTTCTGCCATTTGATGTAAGGTTTTTCAAAACCCATACATAGTATTTGTTTACTTTTCCAACTAGACAGTTTTGCCAGGAGAAACAGACAATCTGGTAACTGGAAGCAGATCTGACAGTGACACAATGCCTAAACTGTGAAAGCAAAAATACTTCCTGTGGTTAAACAAAATATTATTGCTGTTAATATACAATGCACATCAATTATTAACAGGTGTTATCCCAATGCATTAAGAACTACAATGGCCATTGCACCTATGTTAAAATCTGAGTGCTAGAGTTCGAATATAGAAAACAAAACCCACTAAATTTCTATTAGACTCTGCATGTATACTTTTCAAGTATTTGGAAACAGTGTGGTGTTATAAGCATTATGAGTGTGAAAAAGGTGAGGTGGAATAGACCTGTTAAAAACTGAGGAGTGACAGAGTCCATTCAATTCAGAATCAGAGGAAGACTTATTATTACAATTTGTAAACAGTTGCTATCCCTTCCATTTAAGGACAGACAATTTTCAAATGGTTTCTACCCCTTCCATTTAAGGACAGACAGTTCGCAAATGGTTGCTATCCTTCCCATTTAAGGCCAAACATTCCCAACAAGCTATCCAGATGTATTTTTCTGCATAAATTCCAGGAGATAAAACAACAAAATACCAAAAAAAAAACAAACCCCACAACCAAACCAAAGCCCACTCCAAAAAACAACCAACCAAACAAAAAACAACAAACCCATATCCTATTTATACTGTATTTTCATGTTGTCAGACCTGAAAGATTGAGAAAGTTCACAACAGTCTGTTTAAACCTGTCCATAAGATAATGTTTATTCCTTAAACATACTTGAGTATCCTTGAGGATCTTGGCTTATAGATTGTTACATCAAGGCTATAGCTATACCATTAAACTAAACAGTGCCAAGGCCCATTCCCTGGCCCTGAGGTCAATAGCATAGTCTGAACCCTTTTGTTCTGTAGCTTCTTATAAGGAACGGTCCATGATCAGTGCTAATTCCCAGCACTGTCGGCAGAAGTTTCTTGAAAGAGTACAAGTTGGCTGAACCCTCCAAAAATATTTTTTCTAGCAACATCTCCACTCAGAATATTTTCTTCCAGTGCCTATACCCAAATCCTAATACCTTTCAGTGTAATACAATAAGCCTAGCTTGAAAGTCCAGTATGTGTTTTGTTTTGCTAGTGGTTGCACATTTAACTCAATCTCTTGTTCAAATAGGGAAAAATATCATTAACCCTGTTAGATGTATTCCTTTCTGAAGATTATGAGCTTGATGTAGCAACTGGGTCTGAGCTGATCTGTAAGAGGACACTTCGGTACATCATGAGCATTAAATTCCTCAGCTATCCACATTGATTAGCTTGAAGGCACACTGTTCCCTTCCCTAAAGAGTGAGTGGAAAAATTTAAAATACAGTCCCACTGCTGGGGAATTTTCCAGTGCTTGTGCTGTGCTTAAAGTATATACCACACCAACATCATCACAACCACGTTATTGCTTGGCAGCAGTAGCTATCTAATCTGATGCTTGGAAATCTGCAGCCACCTGTAACCCCATTTCCTGGGCTGCTCTGCTGCCATGATAACCTGCACACATCAAAGAGATGCTGACCACAGCAAAGAGGAACCCCTCACTAACAAAGTGTGCCTCTATGACCACTCACAGTCTTGGGTAGAGATCAGCCCCAACAGATCCGCATAGCTGGCTAATCCATCTCCCATTTTTATGGATGGGATGCTGGGTCCCAACTCTGTCACTGCCAGGTGAACACCAAGGGGCTTTGTCAAAGTCTGCTTGGGCCTGAGAAGATGTCAAACAATGACAGAAAATTTCTGACCAGTTATACCTGCCTACCTGTCTTGGCAGTAACCAGCTTTTTTAAGCTCATCCTGTTCCACCTAACCCGTCACAAATATGGGACTAATGAGTCTCAAGTTCAAATAGTTGCCACTTCTATTCCACCAGTCTGCAGAAGTACCTGAAAGATTTTTAGTGAGGATACAAAATACCTCCAGTGCAGCATGAAACAGACTGTTCTCACACTTCTGTAACCTCCAGTTTCCTCTACAGTTCAGTTATTGTCTACAAATTCCCAGGCCAGCTTAAACCAACCCACCTCTCTTCTACAAGCCTTCCAAAACTCATTTATTAGCTTCTGTGAAGTTTTGCACTTGAAATCTGCTTCCTAGAAAGGACCAGCAGCAAAAATCAGGTACCAGACTCTTAGATACCTTAGACTTGTGCTGGAGGCAGACGGAAGAAAATATCTGGCACAGGCCACAGAAAAAAAAGAATTCCTCTCCTTATACTCTCCTTATACATAATTACCTTTGTGTGCTAAGGTTTGGTGAAGCCCTTGCTTTGGCTTCCTGAAAAGCCTATTAAGCATCACAGTCCTGCAAGAGCATCTATTGCTTCTGGGCTTGTATATCAAAGAGCTCATGAAGTGGTCTCAATCACCTGTTGCTGATGCTTCATCATACCATGTCCAGCTTCATCAGAGATGGACTTGCTTGGGGATGGCATCTTCCAAAAAAATGCAACAATTTTGCTTTCTCAGTTTCTGCCCACCACATAGCAATATAACTGAAGAGAAATGGACTATACCATTTTAATCATACTCATAAACTGGAGTGTCAATCTTAACATCTCAGTCATAAGGTATGAAGATAAAATCAGACAGTAACCCAAATTTTAGCAGTGCTACTGGGAGATCAAGTAGATGATACAACAGTCTGTTTTGGATTTTAAATCCATGACTATTAATGACAACAAACATATCTGCCATTTCATAGTCTATTTTCCAAACTATATAAACAGCATGTCAGTAACTAATGGCCAAGTTTATTCTGGAATGAGTTTATGCAGCTCACATGCAAACAGAAAGGCCATCCATTCAAAAGCAGAACTTGCATTTGTTTGCAAATATCAGCATTTGCTTTTGAAAAAAGTAAAAAGTTAAAGAAGCCTAAAAGTGACAAAACAATTTTGAGAGATTACCTTAGTAGGCATGGAAAAAAGCACAGCTAAAACAGGATTGCCAGGGAGCATCAGGGCCTGCTCAAGGAGCACAGTCCCATGGCAGTGAAGCAGGACAAGCAGGGCAAGGTGATGGTAGCAGCAGCACCTATTGACTGGCCAGTGATCTCCTGGCAAAAGAAAAGCAACTCCTTGAGTCTAAGGTTAAACCATAAAATGCAAACAACAGGGCTGAGGACAGTTTATTAGGATTAAGGAACTGTAATTTCCACATTGTTTGTTCCTCACATGGACCTATTTGGCACCTGTGTTTTGCAGCTAACAGCTGACTGAGACAGATATATTGTAAAGTTTTCTCAAGATAGCACTGAGACCAAACTGAATCTTATTTTGCATTCAGTTGTAGTGTTACTGCCCATGTCAAAAAAAGATACTTTGAAACACACTTGATAAAGTATGTTGCAACGCATTACTTGTTATCACTGATTAAATGCTCCCTGTGTTGTCTAATATGGCCCTTACATGGCTCATTCAGTTATTTATCCAGGGTACAAGCAAGGTGGAATCATAGCTATTTGCCAAATGAAACGTGAAGAAGATAATTTGGATGGTTTTAAAGGTGAACAGATATCTTCATATCAATAATAATAATAATACTTTTACAAAAAAGACTATGCATGGTGAATAAAAGAGAGGGGTCATATTTATTGCTGAGCTGAACTGTCACCAGACAACTGTAAACTTTCATCATTACTGGCCTAAATATGGTACCTTTTTAAAACACATCACAAGCTTTGTTCCAGATATTTCTAGTCTATTTCTAGTTTATTTCCCTTTTTAACTGTCAGTCTGCAGCAAAAGCTGAAAGAAGCATCCCCTAAAGTCTTTTCCTTTTACTACCAAATACATAAAGTACAAGTAGCCTGAGGCTTAATATTTTTCAAGCTTTTAATATTTTTTTCTCAGTTTAGAAATACTACCTGTCATTTCTGTGGCAATTCAGAAGCAAATGGTCCCTAGCTCAAACTGTGACTTTTCAGATTAGATCTACCAGTTAAAAATTTGTTGGGATAAAACGCAATTCACTTGCAGTAGAAGACAGCCCAAACTGACAGAAGTAAGGATTCATTGACAAAGGAAAAGCAAATTCCACAGATAAAAAAAAATCCCAAACATGGCAATGTGTCAAAAGAAATGTCTTTATTTACAGCCCATACACCCTACTTTTTTCTTTAGTGACAACGTATCAAAGGGATTATCCAAAAAGCAATCAGATAGCTGGACTGTTCCATTTCTAAATGTTAGTTTCTCTTTTTAAAAAAACACCATTGGTCAGCAGACAGAGAACAGAAACACAGGGCCAAGAAAAAAACAAACCATAAGGGCCAGCTGTAATATATGGGCGATTTCTTTGATTCATGGCTTTATTTCTGTGGTCAGCATTGAGCACCAGCCATGACTTAATAAACATTAATGGCTCCAGGTTCCTTGCAGCATGGATTTTCCTGGAGTATTTCACTAAGTGAGCAGGCATGGTAGGGAACACATAATGGTTTCCTATAGCTGGAAATAAGTAAGGACAACTGTGTTCATTTGTTAATTAAATGTTAGAGCAAACTGAATAATCAAATGTGAGGTATTTGTTTGACAGGTCTATCATTTCAGTAATTGTCTTCTTAAGAACAGTTACATCCTCTTCAAATTCATTTTGTTTCAAAGGGTGGAATGACCATGAATAATTCAGTCCATTCATACATTATTTTGCTACTAAATAAGGATTATCTTTCTTTCAGGTTTATTTGTTGGGTCAAGATAAATGGAATAAGTATGCAAACTCTTGCCATATAAAGGTTTTTATGCCTGAAAATTTTAGACACTAATGTCATGAGACACATCAAGCACAGGAATTTAAGATCATCTCTACCATTAAATATATCATTCTCGAAGTGGAAATTTGGAAAACAGGAAGGCTACTAAAAATTTACTATCAACTTAGAAAAATCATCGACCTATCACAAAAAATACATCTTACAGTGTATAAAATTCTGAAAATTGCCAAGAAAATTTAGTCATTTTTTTCTTTTCTTTTTTTAATAGCCTGTGTACCTACTCTTTTGACATTCCCTGCTGGATACCCAGTTTTCCAGTGTTGCTTTGATGGGATTGACACCATGCAGATGCTGCGGGAAGAAAATAAATAGCATGTTTTAAAAACGATGGTTTATGAATGTAATACAAAAAAAAAAAAAAATCGGTCAGGACAGGTCAAGTACTTTTTAATTTGCTCAGTTAACCACAGTGCTGTGAAGATAGCTATTCTAGTAATATCATAGCCACTGTTGTAACCCAGGCCACTTCAGGCTAAATTACATAGCTGGACCTCAGGAAAATATCATTCAGCTGAAAGTTGTCAGTGGCTTATCATGCTGATCATACTAGATGAAAGCCTACTGAGATATGTGTTCATGAAATCTTAAAGCAAAATGTTATTTATATATCCATAGTGACCAGTGCGATCCTCACTGAAACACACTCATTTCACTGCTGAAGGTTAAAAACTATGTATAACTATGTATAAACATGCTGCTTCTGTCAGTGCTTATCTTAAACTGTAAGGTTCATAAAAGTCCAAGATCATTAAATCAAATGTAGGATAATGAAGAAGGGGACGACAGTCTATTTTGCAGTGACAAATCATGAGAGAATATTTGAATAAGAGTGCATCCAATGGCCTCAAGAAAAGGTATAATTAGAAGTTGTGAAGTGAATGTAAATATTTTAGCCTAGCTAAAAACTGCAGGAGCCAGCAGGAAGCATCTTAATCCAATAGACCCCTACCCCCTCTGTTTGAAAAGCAGATGGAGGTTAACACAAAGGATTTCTCAAAACTTCAACATTAACTGCTATTACACATTTCAAAGTATTTATTACAGCACCACCTGCTACTGCTACCAAATATACAGGGAATGTCAGCCTTTCCTAGCTTAAGTCCCTGCTCACAAGGCTTTTTTCATTACGTAAAACCAAGTTGAAGGATCAAAGTTGACAACCAAGGATCTCAGAGGGAGATTTTCTATAGCATAAAGGACATTCAGACACTGGTAGATGTTTGGTAAGAATTGAGCACATAACTGCACTTTTTACGTTTGCAAACCTCTGTCTCATCTGCTTTTCCCTTATGCACTTTTAGGATAATTTGGTTCCCTGAAAGCACAAAATTAATAAAACAAACAAAACAACAACAGCAAAACAAAACAAAACAAAACAAAAAAAAACAAAAGAAAAACAACAACTAAGCAATAAATAATTTTAATAATTTTCTTATTATTTTCATAAGCTTACATTGTATTTTTAATAGTCTCAGTATTCTCTCCACTTTCCTGTTTCTAGAGCAAGAATTGAACAAAGATATGAACAAAGGTCAGTTTGGAAAATGGGGAAAAAATGTTGGCTAAAAAGCATTCTGATGACTTAGAAGTAAGTCAGTATATGGGCAGTGACTCATACTGAGTAAATAGTACTTGCATTAATTGCATGAGCACACACAGCGTAGCAATAAAAGTACTGCAAAGACTGATGTTGAAACAGAATAAAAAATCTGCAAGGAAACAAGCATGTGATCTGTGAAGGCAAAAGCTAGGAGCTGCTGCAAACTGGAGTGCTCTGTGACTTTTTTGGCTTTATTTCCTTTTCATGGAAGTGTGCAAAATAACACAGATGAAGGATGAAACCTGAGGATTGGAAAACACTGTCTTGTCCCACAACACAAACTTAATTTTAATTTTCTGTTGATATATATAAGCAAGAACCTAAAAAGATATATATGTATATAATACCAAAAGGATCTCACTTTCTTTTCTGGCATGGATTTACAGCTTCAAATAAAACAGAATGAAGCTCAATAAAGAGGAGTTACTTCAACTGCTTTCTATGCAAAACTAGTTCTTGGCATGTGTTCTATGTTTTAAGAGACAGCTTTAGTCTTACAATTTGTGAAATACTAATATCTACATATAACAATGATATTTTTCATGTAGGACCAGTGATCGCTTCAACAGAACCCAAATAAAATTTGAAAACCTTGTTGGGAACTGGTTTGTGGCCAGCACCTACTCTGGTCTTCCACAAAAGCATTTAGAGAAAAGAAAGGGACATGGTTGGAGATGGTGCTTCAAGGCCATATACCAGGCACTTACATGCAATATATATGGCAGTAAAGTTCAGTAACAACAATGTGAGACTACTCAGATGTTTCTTTCTTGCTATAAGAACCATACTCATATATTCACTACTGGCAAAACATGAATTCTTAGAGGCCCTTGCATGACACTGGGCTTACTGGTGTGGGGTCTGAGATACACAGCAGAGTAAGATTTTACTACCTAAAAGAAGTAGACAGATAATGGGTGAAAAAGACTAAAGAAAGGCAGAAAGGTGTCTCTTGTCAAAGGGATTTGTTCAGCTCATGATAAGCAAGTATGTATCTTCCCCTAGGTTGACTGTCAAAGGCTAGAGCAGCTGCTCAGCCCATGGCCTGATGTCGCAGAGAAGTGCCTAGGCATGAGCCTCCCTGCTTCTTCGGTGCAATCCGGAAGAGGGACACCTGGGAGAAAGATTTGACAGGCAGTAGCCTTCCTGCGAAATTACACAAGAGGATGACAGTAGAGGCAGTCCAATCAGCTGAACTGTCTCCTGTCCTCCTGTCTAAAAGCAACTAGAAGAAAAAAGCATCTTGCAGCTGAAGAAGACCTTAGTATAATAAGTATTTTTGAAATGGAGCTGTCTGTTGCAAGTTGGAAGAAATAAAGGTAGCTTACTTCTACTATGTGCAAATGAGAAATTATATTTGAGACAGGCTGAGAATGGGGTTGAATCTGGATGTAAAAGTAGCTTGGAGTCAGGAGTGGGGAGCAGGCAATGCTCAAACAGATAAGGAGTGGAATGGTGGGACATAATAACTCATATTGAGAAAGCACTGGCAAGCTAGTCCATTCTTCCTGGAGCAGCTCTCGTCTCAGCCTGTATGAGCAGAAGGGGCCCAAGTCTCCTCATTCCCCTACTGGCAGACAACGTCAGTAGAAACCCACCAGGAAAAAAGAAAAAAAAAAAGCACAACTTATCTTTTCATTCTGATGGTGAACTGGAACTATATATTGGACAGACCCTCTCCTTGTTCATTGACAGTGTCAAAGACAAAGATGTCAAATGCCAGTACAAAAGCTAATAGGATTATAAAACCTTTCTTCTATATCAGGAGAAAAGAAACAGAAGTTGAGATAAAAGAGAATAAACCCTTTAAAACTATAACAGTGTGTGACCATAACTGCTTTTATATAAACCACCTATACACCATGTCAAAAATGAGGTGTGGAAAAGCGATTTTTTGGTTTTATACAAGATGAATAGTTCTGGCAGCTTTAGCAAATGCAAGAAGAAAACCTCATCCTGAGTAACACCTCAGGAAATTGATTAAAATTTGGATTGAACATTAAGTACAGTGACCAAACTGTAACAATTGCAACACTGTAGTACAGAGTGAGTGCTACCAATTCAGGAAATCTGTATACACTTTCCCCCTTTATATCTTCATTAAATAAGTTTTTTAAGTCCTGAAATTAATTTCTGGGTCTCTCTAAATAATTCAGCCTGTATGTATGCCCATATTTCTTCTTCACAAGTGGGATTACATTATGTAGGTCCCATGTTAATTCATCCCAAAGAGAGATTTGAAGTTTCCAGACAAGTTTACCAAATATTTTCTAAAAATGACAGCATGAAAGAGACTTTGAAAACTATCTTGCTCTACAAAACAGCTAACAGACAACCCCTGAATGGCAACAGGGCAAATTTGAAAGACATTTAAGAGGCAAGAGCAGGGAAGAAGAGGGAACTGATTTCTGATGGAGATGGTGGAAGAGGTTTCAGAGTCATGTATTTTTTTTTGAGAAAATGAAAATGAAAATCCAGCACTTCTCCAGAGATCTGAGCAGAAGTAAATTACAGAAGCACAGAAGTACAGCAGAACAATACAAAATGCTGTTTCTTTCACCTCCACTAGCAATTTGTTTTTTCTGCAACCGTGTGTCTTCAGCCACAGACAATTCCTGCTGGAGATGAGACCTTTGATAACTCACGTCTGTTCTAATTCAGATGGGAGGACATAACTGTGGTGTGCTGTTAGCTCAGAGACCTGGAGAAAAATCTTTGTTCTCCATGGCTGCATCCTGCTTAAGCTCTTGAAGGCTATTAAGAGTACTTTAAAACAATGATTTATGTGAGTCATACAGATATAACCAGCTACAGAATGAAGTTCAAAAATCTCTCTCTTAGCTCAGAAACTAAAATTGTCTTCTCAGTCTGGTTGTTATCTTTTTTTCTTTTTGTAAACTTGAATAGGAATGTTGTATCATGTCACAGCTGCTAAGAGGAAAAAAAATCTTCAATGAGGCTAACTGATACCTAAATTATATTCAATACAGTGAGACTTAAATGAAAAATGCCTTCAACCCTTAACAAAGGCCAGTAGAAAATGAAAATGCTTGGATGAAACAATAGAGTTATCCATTCTTAATGCAGCAAACGTTGGTGATTCAACTGCTGGAATAGCACAAAGCAAACTAGAAAGCATTCGTAGATAAGAGAACAGAACCTAATGGATATTTTCAGTAAGCCTAAAAGCTGTTACCACTATAGTGCAAAGATAATGGTTTCTACCTCTATAGTTCCTTGCAATGATTGTTTTGCCAATATATAGTATAAAAGAAATAAAGACTAATAATTGCTTGTCAGCACGGACGATGCATGACAGGCATCAAGCATGGGAAAGGGGAATGCCACTTCACTGCTGTATCTGATAGTAACAGACTTCACGTAGTTCATATTGTTCATTTATGAAATTGGCTCTGGACTGTAAAGGAAAGGACATCTGAAAGTCACCTTAAACAAGCTGTTTCTGCCTACCTAGTTAAAATAAATTCAGGGACTCTCAATCACCAAGATAATTTAAAATTGCACAAAATGATGTTGCAAATCTTGTAATAGTAGATCTAGGCTCTGCTCATAGATCAGGTCCAAATGAAGTTCAGAAAGGCTGCAACAGAAACATTTTTTCCAGGAAAAGCATACGTCTCAGAACCTTCCATCACAGAGAGGTGTCTAAATATAGGCTAATTACATAAAATCATATGCAGCACAAAGATTCAAATTGTGGAGTTGACGCATAAAGGGAAGGAGTCACCAGATGAAACCTCATTATAAAAAAGCATGCACAGTGAAAGATAAATCATAGTTTATGAAGATCCTTTGTTAACTAAATGAAATCATAGCAAAGTGGAAAAAGAAATGCTGATAATGCTCTTATTACCCATTTTCCTAGATATGATTTGAATCAAGCTTCTCAAGTGTAGTTTCTTAAGGACTGATTTCTTTTGGAATCCACAAAAGCCTATTTTCAGAGGTTTTTTCAGTATGTTTGTATTTCCATGGTAATAAGGCTCCTAACCTTTTCAAATCTGTTTCCAAAAGGCACCAATGATCTTAGGAGCTCCGCCTAGAGTATGTTATGAAAGTCAGACTGCCACAGCGTGGGACTTTTTAAATTCTGAATTTCAGGAGCCAATTAGTACTATAGTCGTCACAATCCTCTCTCATTGAATAATGGTCTGCCCTGCAAGAGCCAAAGCAACCTCTTATACGTTAAACCACATAGAAGACCAGTAATCCAAGTTCTACCTAGGTACTTAAGCTGTAATGTTAATTGCTAGTTTGATTTATGTATGAAAAACAATTGCACATTAAATTCAAAAACTGGTTGAAAAAATACACAAACAAGTTATTTTGGGGAGAATTAAAATAATTCTTGGTTTTGTTTTGTTTTTTTTTAAGGCTAATTGTTTTCTCACTCATTTGGCTCTGCAGGCTCATTTTACAGTAAAAATTATGAGGGGGGGTAGGGGTTCCTGCAATAAGAGCAAATATTTCCCTAGGGAAATGCAACTCAAGTTCAATAAGTTTATCAGAGGCAGGACTCTTACACTTTATTAAAAAAAAAATAGCAGAAAGTACTACTGAATAAAATTAATACTAAGATTACAGAAAATTAACAGAGGTTTCACATAGCAGTGTTTCTGGAAAGAAAGAAAAAAAAGCCCCACTATTTTTTATTTCAATTCCAGAGCAAGGAAGTCTACAGCTAATCAGATTAATTCCTCTGGTATGTATTTTGCTACAGACCATGGCATTGCTCTAGAGAGGTTCGCAGATGCAGAGACTAGATGTCTCAGGGGAACAATACTACACTACCAAGACTTTCACCTCTAAATCAATAGCTGAACACAACACAAGGAATAACTACATGATATTCTGAAAGCAGTGTATTGTTTTCTTTAATTCATCACTAGACTCTATAAAAATATTTTGAAAGGAATTTTTTAATTTGATGGATGTTCAGGGTCAGTGTTAGTGATGCTTGAATCATCACTTTTTTTCATGTATCATAAGTCCCGTCATCACCAGAACTTTATGACAGCTTTGGACTCACAGATGTAAGGGACCTAAAGGGTGAGATATCACCCAAGAAAATTTCTCTTCCAGCAAGATTTGTGAAAAAATAATGGATTACTGGGGAGAAATTTACATCACGGCTTCTTAACACAGCATCAATAAATTTTTTCAGTCCCTAAGGCTATCAAGTCAACAGCTTTCATCATTTTAATACCTTCCAAAAAACCTCCTAAGACAGAGTACATTCTCAGGAAATCTGGACTCATACAAATCAATGAAAAATAAATCAATGAGCTAAATAACATCATAAGTGACCAAGAGAACGGCACTATCTGAACACATGAAAGCATAAACCTTCAGTACTTTATGCCATACAAACCTTTTGGTGAGTAGAGCTTTTCAACTGCTATCTAACTAGAAAGGTTTCTTTCAAGATGTGCATATATTTGTTTTCTGACACGAAGTAGTCTATTTGTAATCAATTTTTAACTTCTCTGGGATTTTCCTTTTAGCATAATACTTTGAAAATATGTCTTTTTCACTACAAGGTGCTGTATCCAACAAGCAGTAGTTAGAATCATTTAATTAGATGATTCTGCCAAGCAGAGATGTAGGTACGCCTTTCATTTTTTTCTTACTGATTCATGTGTACCTCAATTTGTGGATAAAGATGAGTTGATGTTAACATAAAAGGAAAAGAAAATAGCAACACTATATTCCCACTCCTACTGCCGGTCACAACGTCCTTCTAAAATGCAGATTATTATCTTTGTCGGCATAATCTCCATAAAAGATATAATGCAGACAGAATAATTACAGTGTGAAATGAGGAAAGTGTGTCCTTGTTGGTTAACATCTTGAGGGGGCACATTTTCTTCCTCTTATTTTTGAGCAATAAATGTAGCTCTATCACATTCACTGCAGGTAGTTCCTGGAGAATCTTCAGGAGGACTCCTCCTCCTGTAAACAGGCCAATTCTCTTGCGGGTATGTATTCTAGAGAAGAGTAAATATACAAAACTTGAAGGTAGCTGTTACCATGCTCTGTCTGCAAATTGCACTTCACACCTTGTCTACACTAAGGATGTTTTAGGGGAAATTTCACACCTAGACTGGAGAACCTATTTTGACTTCTGTCAGCATTTTAACACCATATTGATTAGTTCTGAATACATAGTTCTTGAAATGCTGACAGAATATGGTGGTACAGGAACCTTCTATGTCCAAATAGTGAAATCAAATTAACATTAGGAAGAAGAAATTCCTATTTATAACTTTGTAACTGAAAAAAAATACCCAAAAATATTACAACAGCTCCTACAGAATTGTGGACTATGTACCTATACACTCATTTGTGCAATTCAATACTTCTGAAGGATGTAAATGCAGCGCATAATAAAGCAATTCAATGAGCACTAACCCCGCATTTTCTTTCTAAAGATAGGATCAGTTTGTGGGATTTTGCAGTGCAATGAGAAAGGAGACTGCAAGGGGAAATTAAAAAAGAGGATGACAAGTAATGTTTCTGATGGCATATTTTAGTGAACAGTCCACAACTTTTTACATTCCTGCATGCGTTTATTTATATGATTCCAGATAATTCTGTTTATATCTCCACCTTCTAAAGTACTTCCAGGAATGAAAATATTACAGTAACACGCTACACTCATATGGAACAGACTTACATCCTTAATTTTTCAGGAGGCTCAGATGCTGATCTGAAGCACTCTTGATGTGGTCCACAGGCTTCACTGTCTTCTGTGGTCATGGCTCAAATTATCCACTGATTCTGCAGGTCTCTGTCAGGGTGAATCAGCACTGTTAACAAGAAATAATGTTGCTATCCATAAGTCTTGAAATGCTGAATTTGTTATATCAAACATTAGTACCATTAAAGTTATTGAAACACAAATCCCAAGGCATGTTTGTCCAGCACTGTGGGAAACTACTGAAGCAGAGATGCGTTGCTATGATTAAATCCCTATCAACCAGGTATACCTGCATATAGTTTACTCATACCTTGTGTTGGAGTTTCAACATTAGTTTTTGAGGGTACCCTCATGTTTTACCTCTAAATACATCCTCTCAAATGCTTTGGCATTCTGAGACACACTTTCTGACACCTTCTCACAAACAGATAGAAAGAAAATATTAGTGATATGACATGTACTTATGTCCCGGGTTCAGCAGTAGCAGTCATTTTTCTCCTTCTTAGTAGCTGGTCCAGTGCTGTGTTTTTGACTTTCAGTCTGGGAACAGTGCTGATAACACCAATGTTTTTAGTTGCTGATCAGTAATATTTACTCTGACCAAGGATTCTGTGAGTCTTATGCTCTGCCAGGGAGGAGGGGAAGTTGGGAGGAAGCAGAGACAGGACACCTGACCCAAACTAGCCAGAGAACTATTCCATACCACAGCACGTCATGCCCAGGATGTAGAACTGGGGGCAGTTACCCCGAAGGGCTAGGTTACTGATCGGTCAGGCTGGGTATCGGTCGGTGGGTGGTGAGCGGTTGTATTCTCTTCCCTTGTTATTTCTTTTATCATTATTATTATTGGTGGTAGCAGTAGTGGTTTGTGTTATAGCTTAGTTACTGGACTGCTCTTATCTCAACCTGTGGGAGTTACATTCTTTTGATTCTCCTCCCCATCCCTCGGGGGGTTGGGGGAGGAAAGGGAAGGGGGAGTGAGTGAGTGCCTGCGTGGTTCTCAGTTGCCAGCTGGGCTTAAACCAGGACAACTTACTAAATCTGCCCGTTAGAGGATAATGACCAATATTTCAAGCTGCATCAGAAAATGCTGCAGCAGCTTTGAACTCTAGAGGGGTAAATGTCCTCCTATCCCAAGCATTCTCATTCTCCTGGGGTAACCTGGAAGCACAAGGAGACTCTCAAGGGTAACTCTTCTGAACAGCTCACAAGAAGCCTGGAGGCAGCCACAGCAACACCCTCCTACCCATGGGAGTCCAGAGTAGAAGCTTTGCATGCTCTTCTTTTTGGGGTTTTATACCTGCATAATGAACAATGCTTTTGAACATGGATGACCCCAGAGACTGAATTCAGTCAGTGTGTAAAAGGACACTTTAATGAAGCTTTTGTAGCAAAGCACAGATCAAGCCCTATGATACTGAAAATTTGTGGGACATAATTGTCAGCAATACTCTTGATAGGTTTTAGGAGAGCACAGTAAGCATTCGAGGTCAGATTTCCACCAAGCAAATTGTCACGAATATAAATTGCATTCAAGTCAGATTTTGTAGTTACCAGTGTTAATATCTGACATTCCTCATCTGAAAAAGCTATTCACTAGCTATATCTTTACACCACATGCTGCACATCAATGGGAGCTTCTTGTAGGCACAAGTGAACTGATTCTACCTGTGTCTAGAACTGAGAAAAAAAAAAAGAAAACAACCCCAACCCTTCAACCCTTAAGTGACCTGTGTCAATGCATTACCCATCCTGTGCTAATAATCTCAGCCTCTCAACAGCTTTCATTAGCTCAGCACTTCACTAATACCTTCATATATCCTTTTTCCTTTCAACTCAGGGCACAGATAGGCCCACAATATATAGTGTAAACACAGTGTAGGACTCCTTAGGAAGGATTACTGCCAGCCCCCACATGAGGCAGATTGCGCTCATGGAAAAACAAAGGGCTTGCAGACATGAGCATCCTCTAACTTAAATGGTGGAAAAGAAATAAGAATGTGTTAGAAGGAATGGAGGACAACAGCTGTAGAGTCACTGATTGATTGGGGTGGGAAGGACTACCATACAAAACTGACATTGATCTATCTTTTAATCTAACAGCACAACAACAAATCTTAAGGCAATCAATTTTAATGGTATTAATAGTCCTATTCAAATTATTCATTTTCTACCTTAATTTAGGAGGCTGGCTTCATATTTCCTTGGCAGGTTTGTCAAATAAGCATTGCAGTTTCTTTGAGAGCAGTTTTCCTTACTGCTCCATTTCTTTAGTACGCTTGCTTCTGTAAAGAGTGCTATTTTTATATCCCAGGACTGAATAATTAATAATTCATTCATTTGCCGCTTGTTGTGATAATCTTTCTTCCTTGTATAAATCATTTCCATGTTGGCTTGTTTTTCCTTTTGGCAAATAACAGCCAACCTCAACATATCTTAATCCCACACAAGCTCTGATCAGTTTAGATAATCTTTGTCCCTCCTGAGTCTAAACTGAGCACAGGTCAGAACTCTTCATTCTAGTAATCGCCCTTGCTTCATCTGTAATTTGCTCTCTTGAATAAACCATCAGCTCAGCATTTTCATTTCTTTTTTCATTCATTTCAAGCCTCATCCAGTAGCCACAAGAATCAATGGGAAATTTTACTCTGGGAACAATAAGCACTGAGTAAAATTTTTATCACTTTCCAGTGTATTGAACTGGGTGAGAGGAGCAAATGGAGCAGGGCTAGGATGAACCGCTTCGAGACAGAAAGCAATAACTTGAGCAGCAAGCTCACAGAGCTCATAGCCCTGAAAGCATATGATCATCTTCCATGGCTGCTTAAGTCTCTGGAATAAGCAAATAAATAATAAATACATGAACAGAAGCCAAATTGCAGTATTCCTGTAACCAATAGCCACAGAGTGATACAGGAATATTATTTTCAATTTTAATTTGATTCTAAGTAAAATATGAGCATAAATACATGTAAACACCATATGTAAAAACTGTACATCCCTACTATTAAGGGACTGCATTTTCATTTAACGGAATACAGTTAAGGAAATGCAATTAAGTAAATATATCTTCAGTTTTGAAAAACTTCCTAATTTCAGAAAATTCAAACACTTTGAGAATAGACATCTCTGCTGGAAGCTGGAAGACAGGATTTTTTTCTCACTTTCATATAGTTTTCCATAAGGATTTGCTACTAACCACTTTCAGAGGCAAGTTTGGTGTATTTTTCAACTGACACTGTAAATCAGTCCTTTCAGTCTTACAAGCTTACACCCTCACAGTGGGAGGCCCTGCACTAGAGGTCATGCTGGTCTCATACATCTAAGTGGCTCATTATCAGGTAAGCTTGGGGATGTTAACATATCTGTCTGTCAGGCATCCATAGCTGATCTGTAAGTTTGGGATTTATCTCACATAACTTAAAACTTCTACAAAAACTGGATCAAAGATCCCCACCTTAAAACTGTCAAATCCTTTACAGAAAGGCTTGTCATCCCTGTCTATTGCCGAAAGACTGTCAGTCACTTAAAACTAAACTTTAGCCAGCTGGCAAAGCTGTGTAAAGCTCTGCTGTGTAGCTATGACCCAGACACTTTGAGCTGTAGCTGTTAGTATTAATCTTTGAACAAGAGAATATGTTGACTATGAAGATGTATAGATATGATGTATAGATATAGATGTATAGACTATGAAGAGCAGATTGGAAGAGTGAGGCTGTGCTCATAAGAAGCTAAAGACTCAGTTTCAGAAAAGAAACATTGGGGTGAAAAGCTATAAAACTGAGGAAATAAGTGGAGAGTAAAAAGAAAATGATTTAGCAAGAGTCAAGATGAACCCATTTCATAGAGCAATGGAGACCAATGCTTTCACCTGACTGGTGGCAAAAATAAAAATTCTTATCTTACTAGTATCTTTGTTTCTGCTTTTGATAACCATATTAGCTAATAAGTAATTGCTGTGTATGCAGAACTTGCGCATATGATTCTGATCGTAAGTCTACACAGAGTAAAAAAATGTTCAAATAAAAAGGTCTAAAAATTCAAAGAAATGAAGTGATTCAGATCACTCATCCTCCAATAAGAAAGAACAGCAGAAATCATTTTGTAATGAAGCTGTCTCAGAAGAAAACAGAAGAGAATATTTTCCTTCAGAATGACAGAAAAAAAAAAAAATCTTTCTCTCTTTAAGATTTCGTAGTGAGAGAAATGCCTCTGCCATAATTTAGTTTATGTATGAGAATGGAGATAACCTTATCAGTAAATCAGCAGTAGCAAAGAGATCTTATGGAAAATCATTGCAGAACTTACTCTGAAAGTAGATGCACTTCATGGTAGAGCATAATTATGTGACAGTTTCACTGAAATTATATGACAGTTGCCATTAATAAAAATGGAACACAGTGAAAAATATCTTAGCATTTATCCCACAGATTTTGAAATGCAGGTGCAGTACTGTACACTATAACATTATGGTAAAAAATCTAAATACTAAAAATTTTACTGTACCAGTAATGAATTAGCCATGCATAATCACTGTGCTGAGTAGTTAATGCATTTTTTTAGAGCTCAGATTACAGTCTACAAATACATATCACACAAATGTGAGATTCAAATCACAGTGTAATTGCAGTGTATCTATAGGATATTGAATGTGACCATAAAGTAAATGTGACCAGCCAGTAAAAGGAATGTACATGTAGTGACCCCCCAACACTGTTAAAAGTTACCTCATTAGTCCCAAGAGACTGAGATATAGGTGCATAAAGAGCTTCTCTGGAAGAAGAAATTAGGATATTTAGAGGAACAAAACTCAGTCCATTGAGTCATGGGGAAGAATCAAAGAAGTCAAGGAGTCTGTGAAGTAGTGACTATCAACCTCTTATGCAGTACATTGAAGGTAGCATTTGACTTTGGAGACGATAGCTGCTAATGCTCCATCCCTGGCAGTGTTCAAGGCCTGGTTGGATGGAGCCCTGGGTGACATGGTTTAATGAAAGGTGTCACTGCCCAAGGCAGGGTTGTTGGAAATAGATGATCTTAAGGTCTTTTCCAACTATTCTATGATTCTATGGTGAAGAGGAAAATAAAAATTGTTTGTCTTGCTGTTGG